ACATGCTCCGACCAGGTCAAGCGGCTATCCACAACGATCCCTAATAACTTTACGGATGATGAAGTCTCATTCCATTTGTCTGATGTTATTCTTAGCTTGCTGTTTTTTGCTTCATTAAGTTTGAGCTTGTTTGCCGAGAACCACCACTTAACCTGGTCGAGACTGTGGGCCTCGTCAAGTTGGGTAGCCTTGGAGAGCAGAGTAGTGTCGTCTGCAAAAAGGTAGCATTTGCTATTGTTGACATTTTGTGGGAGGTCATTGATGTAGATTAAAAATAATAGAGGGCCCAAGACAGAGCCCTGGGGTACCCCGTTCGTAATCGGTAGAACCTGGGATTCTACTCCATCAAGGCTAACCATCTGTCTCCTATTAGCTAAGTATGATCTCATAAGCTGTGATGGCTTGCCACGGATCCCATAGTACTCCAATTTGTCAAGCAGTATAACTGCGTCTACACAGTCAAAAGCCTTGGTTAAGTCACACATAGTTGCTAGAGCGGTGGTTCTCTTGTCAATGCACTCTAATGCATCCTCAAGAAAACTAAGAATGGCTTTAATGGTTGAACAGTGCTTTCGAAAACCAAATTGGGAAGCTGAAAGGAGGGAGTGCTTTTCAAAGTACTTTATTAATTTTTCTTTGATTACAATTTCGAATAATTTACTTATTAATGGAATTATTGTGATTGGCCTATAGTTATCGAGATTATCTTCATTCCCTTTCTTATGAATGGGAATGACCTTTGACAATTTAAAAGCATCAGGCCATACGCCTTCATTAACACACTTATTAAATAGTATTGTTAAAGGTTCAATGAAATCCTCACTGGCTATTTTCAACATAGCACTGTTCATACCATAGAAGTCGAGTGAGGGTGAGTTTTTTAGTTGAGCTATAGCACATCTCACATCTGTTTGGAGTATCGCAGACATGAAGAACGAATGTGGTGTCTTGGGAGTACGGTTGAGGAGATACAAGTAATTAATAGTAGGCTTTTCAATGCCCTCAAGAATTTTACAAGAAATAGTACTGAAAAAGCTATTGAATTCATCACTTGAGACGTTTGTGTGTTTCTGTTTCCTGATGCCTCTCTCGCTATCGACTATCTTCCAGATTGCTTTAGTTTTATTATCCGCCTGGTGTATCATTTCAAAGTAAAAGTTCCTTTTTTCCAATTTCAATTTTTGACGGTATATTCTACGTATATCCTTATACCTCTCCCAATCACGCTCATCCCCGCTATGCGAAAACTGGCTCTTTGCGTTCACCATATCTTTCCTTAGCTGCTTCAGTGTCTGCGTATACCACTTAACCTTGTGAGCTGACTTATCCACAGCTTTTAACGGAAAACAATTATCGATACAGTTTGATATTAAACGGTAGATACTATTTGCCATGTTATCTGCAGAGTTAGAATCTACATTCATGTCGGACGCCATACTATGGATTCTGTTGGCAAATGAAACCATTCTTTTTTTTGTAATAATGCGTCTTTTGAGCGGTTTGATTGAATGAATCTCATCTTGTAATATAAAAAAATCACAAAAAATTCCTAAGTGGTCGGAAATGTTCAAATCTATTGTCCCTGTCTCAATATTATCATTGTTCAAGTTGGTCAATATATTATCCAAACAAGACGCCGAAGTAGGTGTAACTCTGGTATTTTCATAAATACATTGACGTAAGCCAAATGAATTTGAAATATTACATAGGTGTGTCACTGTTTGAACATTACTGCTGAAATCTAAATTAAAGTCGCCAAGTATCAATAAGTTCTTATGTCTAGAATAAATACTATTCAGTAAACTATTGAAGGCATCAATAAATAATGAAGGATTTCCTAAACAAGGAGATCTATAAACAGTTATAATAGCAATATTACCAATTGTTGCCCCACAAAATTCAGCATGGAATGGAACACAAACATTATTTAAATCCAAGGGTTTAATTTGCTGATTCATTCGTGCAAATATAGCAACACCACCATGTAATCTTGGAGGGCGACAGTAAAAGGATATAAGAGAATATTGGTTTAGGTTTACCATTGCCAAATGATCATCACTAAGCCAATGTTCAGAAATGCATAATACATCTACAGGATTATCATTTAACCACAAATTGAGATCATCAATCTTGCTTGGCAAGCCCTGTACATTGATGTGAAGGGTTCGTAGGCATTGGGCGTTGTTGACCCGCTGACGTGTTTGATCTCCTTCTAGAGCGAAAAAATCGGTTGATTATTACCCCATCCGGCCATATGTCGCTCTTTAGTATATTGTCCGCTTCGGTAGCTAATAATGTCACCTTGAATGATTTGTAACTTTCTGGATACCTGGCATTCAGCTCCTCGACCTGTACTAATGCAGCAAATCCCTTCAGGTAATTGGCTAAAGCCTGCATTTCAGTCTTTGTATCCAATTTTGTGACGTGGTACTGGTACTGACGGTTTTGTTGAGCTGAATTTGCTGCTTTCAGGGGGCATGCACTATCACTGGTCAATTTGCCGACTAGTAAGTTTCCAGAACGCCTCCTCCTCTCAGATTTACTTTGAGAGTTAAGTGTACTTTGCGTATTAGTACTCGCCTGTCGCACTTCATTTGACAAATTGCTGTTCCCAATCACTTGGGTGTCACTCAACATTTTAGGTGTGTGGTCTCCTTTATTTTCATCTGTGTGTTTAGATCGCTGGCGCTCGAACAGCTGGTTATTTTTTGCTACCGGCGCTGAACTGGAGGAATGTGCGTAACTACTCGTAGTATGCGATTTAAATTCAGTAGTTTTCCCCTGCTTTAGGTAGCGTATCTGCTCTTGCAGCGATTCAACCAGTAATGACTGGTACCGTATGGTTTCGTCCTTCTGTTTAATTAGTTCTTCAAGATAGCATACCTTAGTTTTTTCTCCTGATTCAGGGTACCCTGCAGCACCACTCTCTGCTCTAGAACCAATATTTTCCTCAGCGCAGCAGATAAACAAATCGTCGTTGGTGTATTTGACGTCTCTCATCTGCTTGATGCAACCCTTGTGAGCTACACGGCCACATTTGCTGCAGGAAATTCCTGTTGGCGCTATTTTCCTACAGCGTTTGCAGGTTAGGTTACTGTCTTGGTTGGTCAGATTGCTTTCAGACATGGTATGCACGTACAGATTCCAATACTAACAATCACAAGGCACTAGTACACGTTTATGAGACGAATGCACAAATCCACAGAAATTAATTAACTCAAAAAACACTAAACAATTCACTCTGATGTAGGATATACGAATATATGCAGCATAAGCTAAAGGTGACCATACACATATACACAATAATAATAATAATAATAATAATAATAATAATAATAATAATAATAATAATAATAATAATAATAATAATAATAATAATAATAATAATAATAATAATAATAATAATAATAATAATAATAATAATAATAATAATAATAATAATAATAATAATAATAATAATAATAATAATAATAATAATAATAATAATAATAATAATAATAATAATAATAATAATAATAATAATAATAATAATAATAATAATAATAATAATAATAATAATAATAATAATAATAATAATAATAATAATAATAATAATAATAATAATAATAATAATAATAATAATAATAATAATAATAATAATAATAATAATAATAATAATAATAATAATAATAATAATAATAATAATAATAATAATAATAATAATAATAATAATAAATCGAAGCGAATTTATGCTCATTGTGAAGAAAACGATATTATTGCGCCACAACAAAAAGGCTGTGCTAAGGGAGCTATGGGATGCAAAGAACAGCTGGCTATCGATTCAGTCGTCTGTAACCAAGCCTATACCAACAAAAGGAACCTATACATTACGTACATCGACTATCAGAAGGCATACGATTCTGTACCTCATGAGTGGCTTGTCAGGGTGCTGAGGCTCTATAAGGTAGATGAGCATGTAGTGGCCCTATTAGAACATATGCTGAAGACCTGGAGAACCAGAATAACACTGCATACAAACGGGACCAGCACCATTCAAACTGAGACGATCTCTATCCGAAGAGGTCTCTTTCAGGGTGATTCATTAAGTCCCCTATGGTTTTTGCCTAGCTATAAATCCCCTCTCAAACCTCTTAAATGCAACAGGGTATGGATATAGTCTGAAAGATAACAGGAACGCATCCATAAAACTGAACCACTTGCTGTATATGGACGACCTAAAGGTAATAGCTGCTACTGAGAATCAAATGAAACAGCTGCTAGAGATAGTCGGTCAGTTCTCAGATGACATAAGTATGCGATTTGGGATGGATAAATGCAAAACCTTATCTATACGTAGGGGGAACATCTACCCTGGAGGATTTTCAAGCTGCAGAGGCCAAAACGTTGACGCAATGGACGCAAATGACACATACAAGTACCTTGGAATGGCGCAGGCCCGAAGGATAGACCATAAAAAAATGAAGGAAGCTATATCGCAGACCTTCACAAAAAGAATACGGCTACTTCTGAAAACAGAACTCAATAGTAAGAATCTAGTCAAGGCGATTAACACCTACGCATGCTCTGCCTTGAACTACTCGTTCGGTATAGTTCTGTGGAGTAAAACTGACATCGAGAAACTAGAGAGGCGGGTAAGGACTATGCTAACAAAAAAAGGAGCGCACCATCCTCGCAGTGCAATAGAGCGCACAACCTTACCCCGACAGTTAGGAGGAAGAGGTCTAATGGACATCAGCAAGCAGCTAGCTCAACAGGTACTCGCCTTGCGATCCTACTTCTTTGAGAAGGCCGAGATCTCTGAGCTGCATCGCATCATATGCTCAATAGATGACACAACGCCCTTACACCTTAGTAGACGAGATGACCAACCGAGTCACCAAACCAACGAACAGAAGCTACAACGATGGATTGAAAAACCTCTACATGGGAGACATGCCAACGAGATTAGCCAAGAAAACGTTGACAAGAAAGCGTCAAACTATTGGCTTACCTCAGGCCAAATGTTCCCTGAGACTGAGGGATTCCTTGTAGCTATACAGGACCAGGTCATTCCTACCAACAATTACAAGAGGTTCATACTTAAGAACTTGCAACAGTCTGATAAATGCAGGTACGGCTGTCAGGACTCCGAAACAATACAGCACGTAACTGGTGGATGCCAAGCATTCGCTCCAACGGACTATAAGGAGCGCCACGACATAGCTGCCAAAATCATTCACCAGGAGTTGGCATACAAATTCAAACTGATCGAATGCAAGCTACAGTACTACAAATATACACCGCAATGTGTCCTCGAGAACGACAAGTATAAACTATACTGGGATCGCACTGTGCTTACGGACCAATACATAAAACAAAACAGACCTGACATAATCATTGTCGACAAGGACGCCCAGAAAGTAACACTGATTGATGTGGCCATACCTAATAGTAACAATTTAACATACAAACATAATGAGAAAGTTGCAAAATACAGGGAGCTAGAATTTCAAATTAAACGCCAGTGGAAAATGAAGTACGTGGAAACAATACCAATAATAATGTCATCTACAGGGGTGATACCAAGAAGGCTGCTAGAAAACATCAAAGCGCTGGAACTGAGTGAAAACATTTACAAAATCATACAGAAAGGAGTTTTGCTGGCAACTGCCCGCATAGTAAGAAATTTATGGGAATGCAAGTACTAGGGAGGTCACTATTGAGGCTTACCCCTTGATGCTTGAAGCGTCCGGGTTAAGCCAGAACACACCCGATTAACGGGAGTAACAAAGCCCTACGGCTATAAAATAATAATAATAATAATAATAATAATAATAATAATATAGAATAATAATAATATAATAATAATAATAATAATAATAATAATAATAATAATAATAATAATAATAATAATAATATAATAATAATAAATAATAATAATAATAATAATAATTATAATAATAATAATAATATAATAATAATAATAAGATAATAATAATAATAATAATAATAATAATAAATAATAATAATAATAAGAATAATAATAATAATAATAATAATAAATAATAATATATAATAATAATAATAATAGATATAATAATAATAATAATAATAATAATAATAATAATAATAATAATACTAATAATATAATATAATAATAATAATAATAATAATAATAATAATAATAATAATAATAATAATAATAATATAATAATAATAATAATAATAATAATAATACTATAATAATAATAATAATAATAATAATAATAATAATAATAATAATAATAATAATAATAATAATAATAATAATACTAATAATAATAATAATAATAATAATAATAATAATAATAATAATAATAATAATAATAATAATAATAATAATAATAATATATAACAATAATACATCAAAGGACCCCTATAGCGTCGACTCTACCAAACCATGATTGGAAGGTTTCCTGATCTAGCAAGTAAAACACGTCAGAACATATTGGACCAACGACGACATCTCTTTACGACGAACAGGATATCGATAGATAAAGTGAACCGGATACGAAGAGAAGTGGGGATGGAACTCGGAATAGGACAGGCTGAACCATCACGCGAGCTAGAGGATACAGCAAATACCAGCAGTGAAAGCACAAATATAAGGCAGATAGAAACTGAAGAGAAAACATGTTTTGAAAGGAATTTAATACTGTTCAAAGGCATAGATCCTTTTCTGAGACCAAGACTGCCTCGGTTGAGAACAAATAAGAATACTGTTCATATCTTGAATAGAGTAAATCATCTCATGACGACCAAGTTGTGTGACATAACCGGTATAACTGATTATCATGACCTAATCTATGCCGGCGCTTATACTGTGATTGAACTGCACCATCAAAAGATAAAGCAATCATACAAGCATACTGAACAAAAACCCAGATGGCAGATGAGGATCGAAGGGAAAATAAAAGATCTACGAGCAGCTATAGGCCCCCTTGTTCAGTACATCAAGTCAGATGCCCCGTCCAACCGGTTGCGAAATAAAGTCACAACAATAACCCAGAGACATCATGATGAGGATAATCAAAATCCGATACAGATCCTCGATAAGCTCCAACAAAGGTTGTCTGTATACGCAAATCGCCTAAAGCGATATAAAGAGTCGCATCAAAGAAAACTACAAAATAGCATATTTCGAACGAATCAAAAGAGGTTCTATCGCTCACTGGAAAACGAAGATGTAAGTACTACGGGTAAAACTCCAGAAGCTAGAGATGCATTAACATATTGGGCTGACCTATGGGAGAACCCTAAGACTCATAATAATAAAACAAGTTGGCTCGCGGACGAAAAGAGGAAAACCGAAAAAAATACCCATGATGCACTACAACGTCATAACTGTGGAGGATGTTAAAAGATCTATAAACAACACGCAGAACTGGAAGGCGCCTGGACCTGATGGCATCCATAACTATTGGCTCAAAAAGTTCACTTGCACACACGAAACGTTAGCGATGATTTGCACAAGCCTCTTGCAAGATCCAGAATCCATTCCAGCATTTCTGACAACGGGAAACACCTACTTGCTTCCTAAAACATTCCCTTCTGTGAGCGACCCATCAAAATACAGGCCAATTACGTGTCTTCCAACCATATATAAAATAATTACTTCAATTTTATGCGATCAAATTTACCAGCACCTTGAAAGGCATCATCTGCTCCCAGAAGAACAGAAAGGCTGCAAAAAGGGAAGTCGTGGCTGCAAAGAGCAACTTACAATAGATACAATCATCACGGAGGAAGCAAAGGGCTGTAAGAAAGATCTGTATGTTGCATACATTGACTATAAAAAGGCCTTTGACAGTGTTCCTCACTCTCTATTAATTGAAATGCTCCAAATATATAAAATCAGCCCTAGTATAGTGAGATTGCTGCAAAACCTTATGCCTCATGGAAAACTAATCTTGTAATAACCCATAAAGAAGAAAATATCAACATCGGTGCCATCAGCATTAAAAGAGGTATCTTCCAGGGAGATGCACTAAGTGCTTTATGGTACTGTATTGTATTAGCACCTCTATCTAGAATGCTGCACAAGAAGAACGAAGGTTATAAGCTTCAGAACAACCTACAAATAAGCCATCTAGCTTACATGGATGACATCAAACTAATATCTGCCACTAAGGATGGACTGGACAGATTGCTTAAAACCATAAAGAAATACAGTGCTGACACAAGAATGGAGTTTGGCCTGGACAAGTGTAAGATTGGGGCTATTAGAAAAGGCATATGGGAAGATCACCCAGGGTTTATGTTGGAGCAGGGTCAGACAATAAGAAGCATGTCTGAGAAAGAGAGCTATACATATTTGGGACTAGATCAAGCAAGGGGTATCAAACACAAAGATATGAAAGAAGTTCTAAAGCAAAGAGTAGGGTCAAATCAATACTTAAGACTCATCTGTCCGCAATACACAAAGTAAGGGCCATTAACACATATGCTATTCCGACAATAACATATAGCTTCGGAATAATCAAGTGGACAGACTCTGACTTAGAGCAGCTAAACAGAAACATAAGAGTCTTATTTACAAATCATAGAGCAAGACATCCCAAGAGTTCGATCGAAAGATTCTACTTGCCAAGATCCAAAGGGGGACGAGGCGTGATTGACCTTAAAGCAGCTAACCTGCGGAATATAGAAAACCTCAGGAGATTCTTTTATAGAAAGGGCGAAACATCTGCATATCACAGAAATATAGCTTCAGCTGACTACAAGTTCACACCACTGAACCTGTCGGATGAACATTATGAACCTCTAACCCATGTGACCACCGACGAACAATGGTATCATCAATGGAAGTCCAAACAGCTTCATGGAAGACATCCAGCCATGCTCAGCTCAGATCACATTGATGCAGAAGCGTCACACGGATGGCTGAAGAGTGGGGAGCTATTTTCGGAAACTGAAGGTTTCATGATTGGCATTCAGATCAGGTGATACCAACCTTAAACTATAGAAAATACATCATGAAAGAAGAAGGCATTGAAGATAGATGTCGTATATGCCATAACAAGTCGGAAACAATAGAGCATATCCTGACGAGCTGCACTCCCCTAGCTTCCACTGAGTATCTGAAGCGCCACGACAACGTGGCTAAAATAGTTCACCAAGAAATTTGTTATGCTGCGAACATACTAACTGACCGCACCCCATATTACAAGTACCAGCCGACTCCAGTTATAGAAACTAACAGCCATAAAATATACTGGAATAGAACAATTCAAACAGATCACACCATGGAATACAACAAACCAGATATCGTAATTCAAGATAAAATGAAGCAAGTTACCTGCATAATTGACATTAGTGTGGCCTGCCCCACATAACATAGCTGAGAAGCAGACAGAAAAGGTTCGCAAGTACTTACCACTAGCTGCAGAAGTAAAAACATTGTGGAATCAAGAAAAAGTTGAAGTCATCCCAATAGTGATCGGAGCCACAGGAGAAATACCTAAGAGTCTACATAAATATATTGAGAAACTAAATCTGCCGCAGAAACTATACCTCTCACTTCAGAAAGCTGCTATCTTAGGTAGTTGTCATATAGCACGCAAGGTCCTGATGTAGCCACATAGACAAAGAGAAACCATAGTCACACTCAGACGCTTGCAGTATAATGCCGCGTTTGAGGATACCACCTGCAGTAGCAGAGAATAGCTAACAGAAAACGGAATAATAATAATAATAATAATAATAATAATATAATAATAATAATAATAATAATAATAATAATAATAATAATAATAATAATAATAAGAATAATAATAATAATAATATAATAATAATAATAATAATAATAATAATAATATTAATAATAATAATAATATAATAATAAATATAATAATAATAATAATAATAATAAATTAATAATAATAAATATAATAATATAATATAATAATAAAATTAATATAATTAAAATAATAATAATATAATAATAATTAATATAATAATAATAATAATATAATAATAATAATAATAATAATATAAATAATACCCCGCAGATTAAAATCGAATCTGGAATATTCCAAGGAGATTCACTATCACCTCTCCTGTTCTGCATGATGAGTACCCCCTGTCCTGTCCAGAATGCTAAATCAAAAGCCAA